TTCTACATTGATACAGGTTAGTTCAATAAATAATGTAATTTACTTTTAATTTATTTATATAACATTTATTTGTAAATTAAAATGCAAATAAATTGTATTTTATTCTAATTATTTACTCAAGTTCTAGCTCAATTCTAACCCATAGTTAATTTAATACAACGATTGTCAACCCTTTTGGCGCCGCTTTTATGATTGTATGTTATATAATGTCGTTAGTTTTTTAATATACAGGTAGATTTAGGTATTATATTATATCTAATATTTCTACATTGATACAGGTTAGTTCAATAAATAATGTAATTTACTTTTAATTTATTTATATAACATTTATTTGTAAATTAAAATGCAAATAAATTGTATTTTATTCTAATTATTTACTCAAGTTTCATTATGTAATAAATTTTAAAATGACATAAATGTACTGTACTGTATTATAAAATTATATATTAAATACAGTATTGAATAATATTATAGTATTCGAGGGTATATAATATTTATTAATATAAAAAAATGATTTAGTTTTTCACAAATCAAATATCAATTCATGTGTTTCTATGGCTTAAAACACTTTGAGCTACATTACTATCATCATGGATTAGTACTATATTAACTATAGCTATATGCTATATCTAATTATTATTGTTACTATAAATGATATAAAAAATATTTTTATAATACTGAAAATGCAACTTATTTAATCAGCTTTAGTACATTTTCTCTCTCTCTCTCTCTCTCTCTCTCTCTCTCTCGCTCGCTCTCTCGCTCTCTCTCTAATAGCAAATATTTTCAACAATATTTTTTACGATTAATTATAAATAAACTGAGAATCCTTTGTATCCCATAAAATTCAACATGTTATCACTATTGTATTAAGTGTCGCGTGTTTATTATATTTGCATAATTAATGATACACTGTATAATGTTGCGTGTAATTATAACATAGCAACTCATAACAATATTAACATATATAAAATCTCCGGAGTGTATAAACACAGACATAGACAATGCACGCAAACTATTGATTAATATTGTATATGTGTCTATGTAACAGTACAGGTTAATTTAATAATAGCAAAAGTATTAATCTCTAGCCAATTGATTAAATTCGTGGAATTTTTATTTTCGCAAAACTATTTTTTGATGTAAATATAACTTGATTTTAGTGCATAGTTACATGTATATGTACTGTATATACAAAAATTAAATAACAATATTTTATGTGTAATTTACTGTATATTTTAGTTAAGTAAATGAAATAAGTCTAAAAATATATAAATCTATATATTTACTAAATATATTTAATACTATGATACATGTTGCATAAGTTATAATCTAACTATAAATATTTAATACATAATTTTAAATTATACATTATTTTTGTAAAACATTAAAACTATTTAAACAAATGTCTCCTTGGGCAATTTCTCAATAAACTCTACTTGATTTAACTCGATGAACACTACAGAATAAGTGATCACGATACTAATTGCCGTTCAGACAATAGATAATGATATAGTAAACAATGAGCAAGCATGTACCTCAATTGGCTGATTAAGCACGTGGTGAAGTAGTACCGATAGTAACAGTCCACTGGTACAGGGAAATTATCTGTAATTATACTATTTTTTATTAATAAAGTTTATTATCCTTAATTGTCTATCTAACCTAACCTAACCTGATGTTTTTAGTGATAAGTAGTTTTTAAAATATTTACTTTTTTTATATACTTAATATACTTTATTTAATAATTAACACATATTATTGTATAAATACAAAGTACAATATCCGACGGTTAATAACTAATAAGAAATTTACATACAATTCACTCATTCATTAATTTAAATAAACATTATGTGCACTAAAGGTGCCCTAAAATTACAGTAAAACCCCAATTATAATATTTATAATTTATATATATAGAATCTATAATTATTTTTACTACTTATAACTTTTAATTTAATAAATTTAATTAAAAATTAGAAATAAGATAACTATTGTACCGTATTACAATAATAATTGCTTGATTTCATTGATATTTTTTCAAAATACTAAATATTACTGCAAATCACATTTTTTAGTCACACTATCGGCCCACTCAACCACATACTTTTGACCTTGCTTATCACCCAGGGTAATACCCAGAATAATCTCAGTATTGCCATTCACCTGGCTGGCCGACACCTCCTTACCATCCAGGGTAGCCTTAATAGGGTTAACCGACTTAACCGTGTTCACCACGATCAATTTGCCCAACTCCGGGTGTGCCTTACCACTATAGCCACTTTGCTCAACGCTGATCACCATGCTACAATTACTGGCCATTTCGAAATGGTACAGGTTGAATTTCTTAGCCTCAATGGTGCCGATACTCTCCCTGTCGTCCCAAAACAGTTCACCGGAGCCCTCCTGATGATGACAGGGAAGGGCTACTAAGTCGATGATATTGATGGAGTCCTGGGACGTGGATATGAGTTGACTGTCGGTGACCATCGGTATGATGCTGTGATCCCTGATGTGTATGGGCGGCGGACCGTTGGGGTGGGAGTCCGGTATAGTCACCTGACCTGTTTGTGGCGCTATTTTCAATTGGGGTTTCACTTCATACCAGCGCACACTCGGGGGTAGGTATGCCTTCACCTCCTTTTGGTTCTGTAGTTTTTTTAAGTGAAATGTATTATTATTATTGGGACAGTAGTTAATAAACACAGGGAAAGGCTAATGAAAAGGCATACCTGGAAAAGGAAAGGCGATATCAATATATTGCCACCCCATAGGAACTGGGTGTCGATGCCCAGGGTATTATTATCCAGTGGCCATTCATGATGCAGTGGTCGGACCACAGTATCGCCGTAGACATAGGACCGGTATAGAAGTGTGTACAAGTAGTGTATCAGTTGATACCGGAGCTGTAGGGAAGCCCTGG